CTGACCCGCCCACTGCTCCCCTCAGCAGTGTACTTCATCGATCTGCCTGTTCTGCTCCCCACTCTGTCTCTGGTGAAACCTCCTGCCGCCCCTAAGCCTCTGGCCTGTACCCCTGTTCTGTATGCACAAATAAATAAATCTTTTAAAAAAAAAAAACTTGTATATTGAAAAAGGTAGTGATTGTTAGTTAGGAAACCGAGATTTGCCTCTAGACCATGCTGCCTGGATGATTTTTTTTTTTTTCCCTGTGATTCAGTTTTTTGGTAGCAGAAGGTGGATACATAATGGCAGATAGGTCTTCTGTTCAAATGTCATCTGTTTTCTCTTAAGACGTGTACCTCATTAGCTGAATGTGGTGGGGCCCTAAATTAATTAGTGGGAACCCTTTAGGAGAGTGGTAAAAGTTTGATGTAGATTCTGAAACAGGAGCTGACAGGGCTCAAGTGAAGGCCCTGTGTTCAGTAGGAATCCAAAATGTTTGTCAGGACCATATAAGTAGCACTCTGGAGCCAGCATAAGTGAAATACGGGGTCTTTGGGAGTCAGTCAGGATTGGATCTGATTTTATTTTCTTTTCACTTTCATTAGGTTTCATTAATATCCACTTAAAAAAGGACTTTGTATCAAAACAATTGACCAATCTCTTGTTGAATGGTGTTCAGCTCCCTTCTCTTGGAGAGAATAAAAAGGTATATACACAATCCTCAATTGATGAATTAGTACCTTAGTAGAACTGGATGGAAAGTGCTATAACTGGTAATGGCTTTCCCTTTTTATTAAGACTTAATCATTGGTATTTGGAATATGAACATGAGGCAGCCTTTCTCTCTAGCTTTTATATAAATTTTCTCTTCATTCTACAAGTCATTTCAGGTAGCCAGCTAATAATGTCTATGAAGTAGAGGATAGATTATTTATACAAACAAACTTTGTTCTCTTTTCAGTTAATAATGGACAAGTAGGTTGGTCAGAAAACAAGTGGGTTGGTAGTTGACCTACAGTCCAAGCAATGTCTAAATCTAAGTTTATGATTAAATGTTATTAATGACCATGGTATAGAATTACATGTTAATTACTCTTTTTAAAAACTCTCTTCTTATTGTCTATCTTAGGTTGTAGTTGACTTTTCCTCTCCAAACATAGCTAAAGAAATGCATGTGGGCCATCTTAGGTCAACTATCATAGGAGAGAGCATGTGCCGCCTCTTTGAATTTGCAGGATATGATGTGCTAAGGTATGTACTCTTTCTTTTGCATAAGACTTCTATAGGACATGAAAACTCACTTGACAAAGAATCTTTGGCCATAGCAGTGATTTGTAATTGTAGTTCTGCTTCATAATCACCCAGCAGTCTTTTTTTTTTTTTTTTTAAGTAAATTATGTCCAAAGAAATAATATCTTTGAGACTCTCAGGAGATGGAGCCAAGGAGAAACCTCCCCCATTCATTCCTCAGATATTTCTTGAATGCCTCCTGCATACTGGGAACTTACATTCTAGTAGGGAGAGAGATAGACAAGAGATAGCTTATGCTGGGTTTTTTAGGTCAGGTAAGAAGTTAGAATTTTATTCTCAGTGTAATAGGAAGTTGTTGGAAAGTCATAATTAGTAGAGCAGTTGCTCTAATTAAAAATTACTCTGGGGGCTCTCCCAGGTGGCGCAGCAGGTTAAAGCACTGCATTATGAAGATCTCCGAAGCCACTGCAGCATGAGTTCCATCCCCGTCCAGGGAGCTGACCCACATGGCATGGCAGACCTCTTTTGGACCCACCCGCTGCTCCTCTCAGCAGTGTACTTCGTCAATCTGCCTGTTCTGCTCCCCACTCTGTCTCTGGTGAATCCTCTCACTGCCCCTGCACCTCTAGCCTGTACCCCAGTTCTGTAAGCATAAATAAATGAATCTTTTTTTAAAAAAAAGATTACTCTGGTTTCTGGCAAAAACCTAGACAGAGTGGGGAGCTCTGTAGTAAGCTAGAATACTGTTTCAATAATCAATCCAGTTAAGAGATGATCTGGTAGTTTGATATTAGATAAAAGCAGAGATGACAGTCATTAGAAAGATATATTTTGAAAAATTTATCCACTGTCATTTGGAAGCCACTGATCTTGACACTAAGGTAATTAGTTGAGTTAAATTTTTATGAAGTGGTTGACCGACATTGATTCAGCTGCCATTGTTCCAGTTAACTGCACAATCAAAGGTCATAGTTCATTATAGGAATTTTATTCATTAAACAAATCCTATATGCCAGCTATGTGCACTTTTTCATTGATTATAACATGCTAATGTAATAGTTATCGCCTTTTCCTCTCAGTGGAGATTACAAACCAGTTGAGGAAATAACCAAGTAGTACTAGATGTAAAGTACTGGCATTTAATGTTAGTAATTCCTAGTTGGATATAATGACTCAAACTTAAATGTTTAACACTTTTTCCATGATCATGTGTTCTTTGATTGGTTTTAGATTGAACCACATCGGAGACTGGGGCACTCAGTTTGGCATGCTCATCGCTCACCTGCAGGATAAGTTTCCAGATTACTTAACAGTTTCGCCTCCTATTGGGGATCTTCAGGCCTTTTATAAGGTTGGATACTACTTATTTTATTTGTGTGTTTATACCATTCATTACAATTATTCATTGTTATTAGGGAGCTCAAAATGGTACTTGAAGCTACTGTGGGGTTACATAGAAATTGCTAAACTTTCATCCCTTAACATGTCTTTTGTTATTTATTGTTATATGTTAGAGTTTGAATTCTACCACATTGTCCATTCATTGTTAAGGGAATTTGGGAATTTGTTCATCAGAATACATACTAGTATTTAAATCTTTTTATGTATTTTTAAAATAATAAGTTATGGGCCCTCCCTGGTGGCACAATGGGTTAAGATGCAGCACTGCAAGCCAGCTTAGCTGCTTTAGTGTGAGTTTGATCCCTGGTTCCAGAGGTGATCCACATGGTGGCAGACCTCTCTTTACCTACCCGCTGCTCCCCTTAGCAGTGTACTTCATCATCCATCTAACTGTTTTGCCCCACTCTGTCTTTGGTGAAGCCTCTCACCACCCCTGCACCTCTGGCATGTACTCCAGTTCTGTATGCGTAAATAAATAAATCTTTTAAAGAAAAAGAAAAAAAAGGGCATTTTTTAAAAAAAAATTATGTGTTTAAGAATTATTCTTAAAAAACAAATTTACCATAATGCATGATTATAAGTTGTGATCAACCTTCTTTGACTTCTTTGCTTACCCATACAATTTTTTAGAATTATTTTTTAAATTATGACCCCCTGTGACTATGCAGGTGCCTCTCTTCCCCAATAAGCCTGTCCTTTTAAAATATAAAAATAAATAAATACTGGATGAAATAAGAAATGACAAAATGAGAACTACATAGGGGCCCTCCCTGGTGGCACAAGGGGTTAAAGGTTAAAGCGCAGCATTATGAAGCTATCTACAGCCACTGCAGCAAGAGGTCAGGGCCAGAGGTGCAGGGGGATCAAAGCATTCACCAGAGACAGTGGGGAACAGAACAGGCAGACTACTGAAATACAGTGCCGAGGGAAGCAGTAGGTGAAACTGTAGAGGTCTGCTGTGCCATGTGGGTCAGCTCCTTGGCAGGCAGTTGTAGTGGACAATTATGATGATAGCACTGAGCCTTAACCCTTAGGCCATCAGGGAATCCCCTGGAAATTATTTTCTAATGAAAAGGTTGAAAAGAAGCTAAATGTATATTGATAGAAGGTTAAAAAAAATTATAATCTGTTGTAATTTCAGGTTAATAAAATGAGGAAGACTTATTAATGTAAGAAACTATTTATAAGACATGTCTAAATTTAAGAACCAGGATAAAAGTTTTATATTTCCAGTTTTTGTTAAAACACCTAAATATGTAAAGAAAGATTTATATACTAAGATGTTGTCACTGGTTATTTTCAAGTGGAGTAACAATATTTTATTTTGTCTTTATAATTAGCATGTATTGCTTTCAAACAGAATTAAAACAAGGAAAGCAGTTTTATTTTGGGTAACTAAAAAAATTATTAATCTGATACATCCAGAATAGAAAATGGAACCCAAGAAATTCAGTGCCACCTATTAGCCATTCTTTATTTCTCCTGAAAACAAAAGCATTAGTTGTGAAGTGGTCTGTTATAAATGGAAAAAGTGAGGGAGTAGCGCGCAATAATTTTGTATATTTAGAAAAAAATATTTGAAAAGAAATACTACAGCTCTTTGGCACACTCCCTTGTAACAATATACTTGATTATTGTATAGCACACTTCTTTTGTTACAGTCTAAATTTTTCTTCCTTGCTCTTGAGGATTCTTTTTTGTTTTGTTTAATTTTTGTTTTTGGTTTTGCAACAGATTTTTTATTTAAAAATACAAGGTTGAGTCTTTTTCTTAAGCTTTATGTTTTTTCAAACACAGGAGTCCAAGAAGAGGTTTGATACTGAGGAGGAATTTAAGAAGCGAGCGTACCAGTGTGTGGTTCTGCTCCAGAGTAAAAATCCAGATATCATAAAAGCTTGGAAACTTATTTGTGATGTCTCCCGCCAAGGTGATTTTGGGTGCTTTGTTCATACACAGAAATACTGTTCTATATAGTTTTTTTGAGTTTTCACTCACAGATGATTTTGAATGACATGTCAAATTTTCAAAGACAAGCACATAGATATTTTTCTTAAATATTTTTGAAATTGAAACTACTGCAGAGCCTCTGTTCGCATATTGTCTAATACAAGCTGAGATTGTTTTCTTTTTTCTCATTAACATTGTGTACACAATGTATACACAATGGTATTTGAAGACCAGGATATTATACATCATTTTCTTTAAAGTCAGTTTCAAAGAACCTATTGACCTTATGAAGTGAAGCTTGCATTATTTTATAGTAAGAAAGATTACTATGGCAAACAGATCCAAAATTTAAACTTCTCAAGTCAACAAAAGTTAATAGAAGTAAAATAGGAAATAATTGGATTCACAGCAGCCAACTCTATAAGGCATTTAGGGATCAATTTATCCAAAAAAGTTTAGGACCAAAATGAAGAGAAATAACACAAAAGAATATAATGGAATTTTTGACTAGAGGATTAAGCAAAATCCCCTAGTTTTTCAAATTCTTCTTTAGTTTTAAGACAATAATCAAGTTTTCAAACTTGACAAAGTAATTTTACGAAAAATCAAGGGGTAATATAGGCAGTAGGTCTTTGAAAAAACTAATAGTGGCTGATTTGCAGCACTATATAGTAAAGTGTTTTATAATGCTGGAGTGGGTAATGTTATGTCACTGATGCATGGCCAGATAGGTGAATAAATAGTACAAAATAGGCTTTTCAGAAAATATATTTGATCTCCAATTAGGACAATTTTCGCCTCAGCTAAATATTTTAAAAATAATTTTTTTAAAGGTACTTCATAAGTACATGTTACTTTTAGAAAAAAGTTTTTGATACAATTCAAATGTTTCAAAATGGCAATATGTATATAATATTCTTATACTTTTTTTTTTTTTTTTAAGATTTTTATTTTATTTGTACATACAGAACTGGGGTACAGGCCAGAGGCTCAGGGGCAGTGAGAGGCTTCACCAGAGACAGAGTGGGGAGCAGAACAGGCAGATCGACGAAGTACACTGCTGAGGGGAGCAGTGGGCATATCAGGAGAGGTCTGCCGCGCCATGTGGTCTCCTCTGGGGCAGGCGGGAATCGAACTCAAACAGAAGTGGCTTTAGCTTCACAGTGCAGTGCTTTAACCCGCTGCGCCACCAGGGATGGGCCAATATTCTTATACTTTTTAAATGTAATTGCTTTTCCTTCTCAGTGTTTGAGTTATTTAATAAATTTAATGTAAGGTGCATATTTCCTATTTGTTTAAATTCTTATACATTTTCTTTTGTGACCTTTTGTCCCTAGAGTTTAATAAAATCTACGAGGCTTTGGATATCTCTTTAATAGAGAGGGGGGAATCCTTCTATCAAGATCGGATGAATGATGTTGTAAAAGAATTTGAAGATAAAGGTAAACACTTTACCTAACAAACCCTGTACCACCAGGGAGACCTCTGCTAGTACATATTTAAAATTATACATAGATTCCTTTCCTCCAACCCCTTTTAAAACTTTTTTATTGAAGGAACCAGGCCATCTGTCCTACAGAATATTTCATATGGCAAAATCTAACATAATTCCTATTATCTAGGGAGACTTAATAAACTACTGGCTTATAGGGTGTGTTGTGTTGTGGGTTTTTGTTTTTTTTTTTTGTTTTTGTCTTTTGATCTTTTTATTATTTACTTAGAAAAATAAAGACAAATTGTAATGTACATTTTGTGGTGCTCAGATACATTTGTAGACTAAGATATTATCAGCCTAATGTCTATACACATTTCCCCAGTAGATTTTTCCCTATGGTTTTACCAGCCATTGGTTGTGATAGCAGATTCAGTACTTCCTGATAGGTTGGAAAATGGTAGTAGTCTTTCATTTCCTGTCTCCTTTTTCCCTAGAATTATGTGAAGCCTTTATCAGAATGATTTTGGTTACATTTTAAGATACAATTCATCTTGATAAGAAGTGTAAATGATTAATTCTTTTCTGTTTTCAGAGTAAGTTAGCATTTTCCAGATATGACAAATGTGTTGTTTTCAGCATTATTGTAAAGGGGTTTAATATATTTTAAGCTTTTTAAATCAGTTACCTTTATTTTTTTTAATGCTCAGTTGTCCCATATTTGATAATGTAGCATCCTCAAATTAGTTCTCTGTTTTTGGGTTTGTTTCCTTTACCCCCTAGTCTTTGATCCTTTATTTACTCTGTACACAGTATTTCAGGATCATGTTGTACATCTCCTACTTAGATCTGCAAGTAAGTCATAGCTCCAAGAAAGCCTGATTCCTTCAAGAGGAAATGCTGTCAATCACCATTAAAATCAGGGAGCCAGCCAGGTTCACAAAGAGAAAACAGAAAGCACAGATAAACAGAATCATAAATGAAAGAGGTGAACTCACAACAGATACAGCAGAAATCAAAAGAAGGAAAACTGCCAGATATTTTCTACGAAGCCAACATCATGCTGATACCAAAACTTAACAAAGACAACCCCAAAAAAGAAAACTTCAGACCAATCTCCCTAATGAACTCTGATGCAAAAATCTTCAATAAAATCTTAGCCAACAGAATCCAACAATGCATTAAAAGAATAATTCACCACAACCAACTGGGTCTTATACCAGGGACACAAAGATGGTTCAACATCTGAAAATCAATGAGTGTAATCCAAAAAAAAAAGCAAGGAACCACCCTTTTTAGACAAAAAATTTAAGGACTTTTTAATGACAGTACATACACAGAGAAGTTTTAAATTTCCGAGGGTCACATAGCTGAGAAACAAATGAAACATAGGCAGTCTAGCTTTAAAAATTGTAGCCACTATTTTAAGCTGCCTTTTCCTTACCAAGGAAACTGAGCTTCAGTTTCCTCATCTGTAAAAATAATAACAATTATACTTATTGCAGAGTTATTATGAAGTTCAATTTTAGACTGAGCATAGTAATGGCACATGGTAGTGCTCATAACTGTTATGTTCTTTGCTACCCATGTTTGCATCCAAGAATTTTGCTTTTTTACATAATTTTTAATATACGAACATGTTTTTTTTCTCACTTCTCATTCAAAATGCTAAATCCCGCCATGTTTTTTCCAGTGTCCTATCACACTTGTAATTTCTTTTCAGTACATTTTATGAGGCAGTGTTAGGAATTGCATCTTTTTCCCAGAGGTGGTTCCAGCTTGAAAACAAAGTGTGGATTTGATTGCCACATGCTGGGACTGCTGAACAGGTGGGCTCCAGTCAGGCTCTTTGCAGAGTATGGGATCCAAGTGTAGTGTGAGCCCAGAAAACTGCTGATTGTATCCTCATAATACCCAGGGCACCCAGACAACCTCAACCATAACTATTTTCCAAGGGTCACATCGGGTCATGGTGAGAAAAAAAAAAAAATCATGCTTTCTAGCTCTCAAATATCCTAGAATGGTTAATCATTTATGTTTCTTCAGGGTTCTTGTGACATTCGTATTAATGTTAATAGAAATTTCTTTTTCCCTAGGATATGTGCAAGTGGATGATGGCAGAAAGATTGTGTTTGTCCCAGGATGTTCTGTACCATTAACCATAGTAAAATCAGATGGAGGTTATACCTATGACACATCTGACCTGGCAGCCATTAAACAAAGACTATTTGAAGAGAAAGCAGATATGATTATCTATGTGGTAGACAGTGGTCAGGTGAGTTTGTACAACTGTATATATTCTTACATGTGTTTCACTGGAGTCCATGTCATGTCAGAGTATCATAAGACTAAATTTTACTCAAAGCCTGGAATTTAATATACAAGATTTGGATTTGACCAAACTTGGCTATTCCCCACTTTCCAGTTTGTCTCTGTAAACTGTAAAAGGTCAATTCTCTGAACTTCAATGACAGTTGCTAATCTGAGAAGGTGATTGTGAGACCTAAAGTTTAAATGAAATTGTTGCACATAAATTGCCCTTAAGTTGCTTTAAAAACCTTTGAAACAAAGTATATTCACAGTCCTGCCCTTTCTTATATAGAGAGAATGAAAGAACTTTCATGATTATGCTTGCCTTACAAGATTTGTGAGTTATGTGAAGTTAACAGATTCTTATCCCTAATAACATAGCCTGTAAGTTACTATTTTATGATTTAAAAGTTTAGCAAGTAACTTTCTGTTTTTCTTTCTAGGCTGTGCATTTCCAGACAATATTTGGTGCTGCTCAAATGATTGGTTGGTATGACCCTAACATAACTCGAATTTCTCATGCTGGATTTGGTGTGGTGCTGGGGGAAGACAAGTAAGTCTGGCAAATCCAAAGGTGGTATTAGTACATACCTGATCCCCAAATTTCTTTGGAAAAGACTGTTTCATTGGATACCATATTAGACTTAAGAAAGTGTGTCATTTTCTTTGGTCTGTTGTAATGGCTAATCCAATGGAGCCATTCTGTACCTGTGTCCTGCCAGATAATGTAGTGAGACTTATACAAAGTTAAATGAAAACCAGATTGTAGGCTTAACAGTTAAAGAGGTTTCCCGTATTCATCAATTCAAAGGCACAAATTTTTTTAGTATTATATTCCATAGAATCTTAGGACATGTAGTAGGTATTTTATCAGCATGTTTCTTAAAGTGGCACCTTAGATATGTGAGTTGGTCTAGATAATATCATCACACAAAGATGGTAATACTTATAAAAATCCCATGAAGTAACACAAGATGCTTGACCAGCTAGTGTACAAAAGCCCTAAGTATGTATATCAAAGGTAGGTTAAGTAGCTAATGGCATTATCTTAGATGTAGATAATATAGGAAACAAAGACCCTGCAGTTTTAATTATACATGCAACTCCTGTGTCAAACTATACTTTTTTGGAATCAAAACACACTGAGGTTTATAGTGATCATGGTCCTTAGAAAGTGCTTTAAAACCAATACGTTGAGTATTGAGTGTTATACTTTCTAAAACTGTTGATTTTTTTTGACTATCATTTCCATAATTGGGCAAAATTATAAAATTTGCCTGATACGCGTCCTTATTTTAGCATTTAAATTATTTACCATGCTGCTCCCCTCAGCAGTGTATTTCAATCTGCTTGTTTCACTCCCCATTTTGTCTTGGTGAATCCTCTCCCTGCACTCTGGCCTGTACCCTAGTTCTTGTATGCATAAATAAATAAATCTTTTAAAAAATAATTTTTGTAGAAAGGCGTAAAAAGCCAAACTGTATTCAGGAAAAAGAACAAATAAAGCATCTTTTTTGCCTTTTAGTGGCTATATTAAAAATGACAACCAAATGCTTTGAGTTGAGGGCTAGAGATAAAAGATACTTAAAAATAAATATTTATTTCTCTTGACATCCTGCCTGGTTGCCAGCTGGAATAAAGGCACTATCAAACCTTCATTTTCAGGATTTATAGGTTGACAGAACTGTTTCAAAATCTATTTCATTGGGAATTAATTTTTTTTTTTTTTAGGAAAAAGTTTAAAACGCGTTCTGGTGAAACAGTGCGCCTCATAGACCTTTTGGAAGAAGGACTAAAGCGATCAATGGAGAAATTGAAGGAAAAAGAAAGAGATAAGGTAATCCAAGGCTTATTAGAGTATTGTGCACCAACATTACGCTGCCATACTTCATTTTTGTTACTGTTGAGAGAATTGGTGAAGATTATAAGGGCAGGTTTGCTCAGATTTTATTGCACAATAGGGTTTTATGAATTACTGAGTAATAATTTTGAAACTTTGTTTCTTGCCTGTTCCAAATACCATGGTTTCTCACCTCCCCGCTCTCCCCCTTTGTTAATGTGGCACATAATATCTTTGTTGCTTATTTGCATTTCACCTGTCACTACTTTGAAACAGTGATGGGAGAAAATTGCAGACTAAGGGGCTGGGCATCTCCAGCTTCCCTGGAGCTCCACCTGCTGACCTCCTGCGGGAGCATTTGTAGAATAATCATAGCAGTCCACACCGACCATCTAAGGCTGCTGAGAGCCATCAGAGCAAGCACCATGGTAGATTTTCATATCACCCTTTCAAAGGGTTGGATCTGTGTGACATTTGGGAAAACTGTGTCAAAATGAAGAAAAAACACAAAAATATTTTTAAGTGGTGGACAATAGAGGTCAAAGATTAAGATTCATAGGTCTTAAATTTTTATTTTAGTGAGTCCAGTGATATTTTGGAATGACCATTAACTATTATAAACCAAAGAGTCAGCTTATAGTAGGAAAAGTGGAGTAGGACAAAATAAGTCCTTTGAGGAAAAACTCTGTTTCAGACACATCATTCACAATCCCAAAAGCATTTTTTAAGTTAATTTGTACACAGTACAATTTAAAGCTTGATGGAGTTTCACATACATACACTTGGTAACACTACCGAAATCAAATTTTAGCTCTAAAACTTCCTCCCCTCCAAGAGAGTTTCCTGTTACCACAGCTCACCTGTGTTTATTCTAGAACCTCATACAAACGAAATTAGGTGTCTTTTCCAGGTAAATCAGTAGTAATTTATTTCTTTTAGATTGCTGAATAGTATTGTGTTGGTGACTAGACCACACTTCCTTCATTATCACTTGATCTGAGAATTGCATTGGTGGGTTTTAGGTTTGACTTGTGTTTTACTTTATTAAAAACTACCAAGGAGAGAATTAAATAAACTCCCATATATACACCAACACTTGATTTTTGTCTTATTTTTGGCCTTTCTGGCCAGTGGCTTATGGCATCTCGTGTGATTTACATTTGCGCTTCTCAATGAATTAGGATTTTCTTGTGCTTATTGGTAATTTACATATCTCGTATGAAGAATTTGTTGAACCTTTGCCCATTTTTGTGTTAAGTCATCACTGTTCGTTTATGTTTATCCACATAATTACCCTTTCCTGCAGTGTTTGCTTCCATCTAGAATTATTTTTCTTCAGTGTGAAGATGTCCTTGTAGTTTTTATTCTTTATAATGCGCACCTGCTGGTAATGAGTTCTGTGAGCATTTGTCTGTCTGAAAACATCTTTCTTTACCTCCACTTTTGAACAATATTTTTCTTAGATACAGAAATCTAAAACACTTGGTGGCTGTTCTCTGTCAGCATTTTAAAGATGGCATTCTACTATCTTTTAATTTTCTGTTTCTTTTGTGTATCACTTGTCCCATTGCTGCTCCTTTGAAGGTAGTGGATCTTTTAAAATATTTTCCTTAGGTTTTATTTTCAGTACTTTGACTATGAAGTGTCAAGACACACTAATAAAAAGTAATGCCTATGTGTGGTTTGAGGCTTTGGCAGGAGGTTGTTTTTTTGGACTTACTTGCTTGGGAGTTTCATCAGGTTAGGAGAATTCTTAGTCATATCTTTTTAGATGTGACTAAGTATATATATATTGTTAAGACTTTTGACTCTGTCCTTAGTGCCACTCACATTTTTTTCACATTTTCTTTATGTTTCACTTTGACTGTTTTCTACTTCAAATACAATATTTTGCTATTCTGTTTTCTGTATGTCTGCTAAAATTTTGCATCTTTTCATCCAGTTTTTTTCCTCTAAATGTTTAAACTTTATCTACCAAATTAATTTTTCATTTTCAAATAATTTTAGGCCTGCAAAATTGTACAAAGGATATTCATATTAAGTAATATTTTATATTGTACGTCCTTACTTAGTACTGGCAGTAGGCTCTTGGAAACTGACTCTATGCAGAACAACATAGTGAAACCAGGTCCTGTTATAGTATCACTTCATTCAGAGTCTAGAGAAAATCAGCCTAGATACAACACTCTGATCTGCAGATGTGATTCAGATTTTACCATTTATCTCACAAGTCTTTTATCTAGTTCAGGATCCATTTCACGGGTAGCCATGAATTGTCATGTTGCCTTAGTCTTTTTTAATTTGAGCAGCTCCTTGCTCTTCCTGTGACTTTTGTCACACTTTTTAAGAGGACATGTAATTTTTTTTTAATAGAATTATGCAATCTTAGCAAGAATAAGTGTAGAGTTCTCATTTCATTATTTCAGGAAGCACATTATAATGTTGATATCCCTTATGATTCTTAATATTAAGTTTGATCTTTGTTAAGGTAATACTGCTATGTTTTTTTCTTGCTATAAAGTTATGTTTCCCTTTGTAATTAATACTTTTAAATAACTTTTCAGTTTAAACAATGCCAGACCTTAAATTGTTACTGTCTTTTTTGTTTCTGTTATCTTGTTTCTCACTTCCCCAAGTCCTTGATTTTTTTTTTTTTTTTTGAAGATATACATACAAGAGCTGGGGTGTAGGCCAGAGATGGAGAGTGAGAGGATTCTCTAGAGACAGTGGGGAGCAGAATAGGCAAATCTACTGAAATACACTGCTGAGGGGAGCAGCAAGACAGGAGAGGTCTGCTGCGTCATGTGCATCATCTCCCCGGCTGGGGATAGAACTTGTGCTGCAGTGGTTGTAGATAGCTTCTTAGTACTGTGCTTTAACCCCTGGTGCCACCAGGAGACCCCAAACCCTTGAGTTTTAGTCATTTCCTTTGGCTTTTTAGTAGTCCACATTACTTTTTAGGGTGGATGTTGTGAATAAAATATAGTTTTTAACCCTTCCCTTCCCCCCTGGTGGCGGAGTTTAAAATTTCAGAGCTATCGGCCCTCCCTGGTGGCGCAACAGGTTAAAGCACAGCTCTGAGAATTTAAAGCCACTTCGCATGAGTTCGATTGCCGCCTGCTCCGGAGGTGACCACATGGTGTGGCAGACCTCTCCTGACCTGCCCGCTGCTCCCCTCAGCAGTGTACTTTGTAGATCTTCCTGTTCTGCTCCCTACTCTGTCTGTGATGAAGCCTCTCGCATCCCCTGAGCCTCTGGCCTGTACCCCAGTTCTGTATGCACAAATAAATAAAAATAAATCTTTAAAAAAAATTTTTTTTCAGAGCTATCAAAGCTACTTTGATCCTTGCCAGGGTGCTAGTCCTCAGATGGCACAGCAGACCTTTCCTGTCTCACCCACTGCTTCCCTCAGCAGTATATTTCAGTAGATCTACCTACTTTGCTCTCCACTCTGTCTCTGGTGAATCTTCTTATCCCCCATACGACTGGCCTACACCCTAGTTCCTGTATGCATAAAAAAATTCAAAAGCTATTTTTTTTAAATTACAGTTTCTGGTTGAAGCCATCTTCCTCCAAAGAACCGTTAAGTTTTTTTCCAGCATTACAGCGGATTGCCTTGATCCTATCAGTCTTGGTCTTTCGTGGTAGGACCAAAGTGTTTCAATGTTACCTTGACTCCTAGAGTGAGGCCCTTACTCCTGAAAAGTGGCTCTTCTGGTTCTTGGGAATGTTCACTATATATTGCTCTCCTGTTTGCTGCTGCTAGGACTTCCCTGCATCACACACAAATCTGCAGAGATCTTTGCTTGGCCTTTTAACTGCCCACTTGCTCTTTCATGCTAGATTTTTAGGAGCTTGCCTTATGTGCCAGCAGTATGACAATATAAAAGGTTTGTGGTCACTTTTTCACACTGTTGTTTGCTCTTTTTTGGGGCTTTGTTCCTGCCTCTTTGGCAGCCCCAAGCTTCTGTTCCATTCAGACCATTTTCTACTTGGGTTATTTCCTGCTAGCCTACCTCAGTGTGATTTGGAAAATATCCTTAGGGAAAATGCCAGATATGTATAGAACTCATCTCCTTCTCCCAAGAGTCCTTGCCCCTCAAACTTTGCTTGTCTTCAGTTGCTTATTATAATGAATTCAGCTTTTAACAAACTGCAAGAGTTAGTTTACTATACACTACTATAGCTACAGTGGGAACCTTTATTGTAGTTACTTGTGACCTTAATAGTGCTTCAGAATGTATGACCAGTTATTAGCAAAGCAGTGCCTAAGTTGTTCTCTCTAACCTTGACATCCTGTTTTGATTTCACTTAATTACTTGACCCAAATTAAATTTTTTAGGTGTATTACTCTTATTTCCTATAAGCTGCCTCAGAATCAAAATTCCAGAATCATATGGAATTAAATAAACTAGTAATGGGTGTTTTCAGTTTCATACCTTATGAATACATTGGAGAAAAATATTCAAGTTGCACTTGCTTTTTACAAATCATGTTTGACATAAATACGTTCTTTATGTGTATAACTGACAAATTTCTCATCTTCTGCCTGTGAGACACCAGGGTAGAGGCAGTGTCTGAATGATGTGATGTATTGCTTTTTTTTCCCCCCAAAGGTCTTAACTGCAGAAGAATTGAAGGCTGCTCAGACATCCGTTGCTTATGGCTGTATCAAATATGCTGATCTTTCCCATAACCGATTGAATGACTATATCTTCTCTTTTGACAAAATGCTGGATGACAGAGGAAACACAGCTGCTTACTTGTTGTATGCCTTCACTAGAATCAGGTGATTGTGGGTACAGCATTGTTTTGTTTTGAATCAAATGATAATGTCTGTGTTTGTCACTTCTTATTACATGCATTTGAGTGGAGAAGAATGACTGTGCTTAACATAAGGGAATGACGGTTATCTGATTTTTCAGATCTATTACTCGTCTAGCCAATATTGATGAAGAGATGCTTAAGAAAGCTGCTCGAGAAACCAAGATCATTTTGGACCATGAGAAGGAATGGAAGTTAGGCCGGTGCATCTTACGGTTCCCTGAGATTCTGCAAAAGATTTTAGATGACTTACTTCTCCATACACTCTGTGATTACATCTATGAGCTGGCAACTACTTTCACAGAATTCTACGATAGCTGCTATTGTGTGGAGAAAGATCGACAAACTGGTGAGTATGTCTCCTGTGTTCACGGTTGTCTTGTTTATGGAAACTTGCCCCCTGAGAGACAGACACACACACTCACTCACTCACACTCTTCTTCCTACTGAATCTATTTTCCCACTCTCAGGCACATGCTGCACCCTATAGGACTCCAAAGAAAACAGTTGAAGGACCACTGTGAATAAAACATTTCCCACAAAATGGTACTGTGGGTTCAAGAATGAGTCTCTTTAAGGGATCTTGATAATGTAAACTTACCTTGGAAAATGTGGTTATTTTGCTCTGGGCTTTATTTTTTTACAGAGTTAATAATGTAGACTGAATCTGTCAGTTCCAAGGCAAGTTGGAATTTTTGAGAACTGAAACTTTATTTATGAAAAATTCACCACTGTTTTGAATTATTACTGGTATTAATCGTATGGCATTAAAGTTTATAGTTATTTCTGCGCTTGAGGCCTCAAAAAGAAACCTGCATTTTCAAAAGGAATATAAAATTTAAAATTCTAATCATTGCAAGCTTTTTATCTCCTGTCCTGATTATCAGTTAGGAGACAAGTTCTTGAACAAAAATGTCTTTATTTCTTTTTCTCTATTGTTAAGGTGAAGGTGATTCTAGTTAAAGCCTAAAAACATCTATGAGTTAAACTACTCTTAGTAAAATCCAGAAGTAATATGTATTCATTAATAATGGTTTCAAAAAGAAAAATTAATATTTTCTTATTCTGTCTTCTTAGGAAAAGTGTTGAAGGTGAACATGTGGCGAATGCTGTTGTGTGAAGCAGTAGCTGCTGTCATGGCCAAGGGGTTCGATATCCTGGGAATAAAACCTGTCCAAAGAATGTAATCTTAGGTTTGAACATTGTTTTTACCAAAGTAGCCATTAGCACTGTTTGCTTTTTTACAATCATGTGGATATAAAAACAAGTAAAAGAAGTTTCTCAGCTAGCCAAGTAATATGTGATTCTTTATCGCTAATTACTAGACTTCTGAAGAGAAAAAAGTACTTCACTGTCTCATTTAGAGTTTTTAGTCCATTGTTCTGTTGTAGATACTTGTCTTTGTTTGACAAAACTGAAGCTCCTTGGAAAGAGAAACCTGCCCTGGATTGCTCAGGAACAAAATCGAGATTCATATCCGTGTGTGTCTAATTCCCAAAGTTAAGCTTTTCCCATTTCAGCAAAAGACAACAGTGAAGGGAAAAGCGGACAAGAAAATTTAAGAGACTAGAACTTTCTTGAAGCTATAGATTGATTCTTATTGGTCATATGCCAATTGTAATTTCAAGGGAAAGTGGAAAACAGATAAGAATGGGATTGTCATGATTTGCTGATATCAGTCAAGTTTCATCTCCGGGGCTTGGCATGCTATTATCTGGAGTTCTACATCACAAAAGGTAAATTTTTGGGGTGGAGGGGAGGGTGGTTGGTTCAAGATGGTTGGATCAGTGGTTAATGTAATCTGCCAACACAAATCAAAGCTGAAATTAGAACTCATGTAAAGAAGCTTAACATAATACCTGGAAAAACAAGTGCAGTAAATTTTATCATGCTTCAAGGGCACCTACCTGCCATTACACATAGACTAGTAGGTATGTCAGTTCAACCCCCACATCATGTCACTGCTCCCTCATTGTTGCAACCTGAAGCTTATTTCTTAATTTATGCTTTTTCAGGTGATACTACGGTGATGGTTCATGGAGCTAAATCTTTGCACACACCTGTGACCAATCTCCTAGTAAACACTAAGAAGTTGAATATTAAAGGATTCAGCTCACATTACCAAATGGCTCTAGAGAGTACCTGCAGTCCCAGGGGCAGTGTACAAAATTCTGTTCATAGTACCTTATCCAACCCTGGATATCTAGTTTGACAGGATTGACACTGCAAGGTTAGTGCTGGGAAAATCAATCAGCCTAAAATTATTTAACTGTGTTAAAATACAAGAGAAGTATATGCTCTGGGTTTTTATCCAGTCCAACCACTTATTTCCCTGCTGTTTGACTCTAAAAGAGCTATCTAGTCTCTCCTGGCCTTCATCCATGTTGCCTGCCAACTGGGAGAACAGTGTCATAGAACAGTGTTACTGTGCACCTCTCGCCTCTCCAACTTTATAAGTTGATGCCCTAGCCCTCAGTGTGACTGAATTTGGAAACGGCTTTTAAAGAGGTAATTAAAGTTAAATGAGGTCATAAGAATGAGGCCATAATCTGATAGGATTAATGACTTTTATATATATATATATATCCAAAAGGGCAAGTTTATTTATAAAAGAAAAGGGAAAGGAAGGGACACTTGCACAGATACAAGTGGTGGAAAGAGCTGCCCCTGAAATGGACAGGTTTGTGAGAAGAAACACGTGCATAGTCACAGGCAGGCAAAAGAGCTGCTTATTTTTAGGATTGCTGACCGTATCAGAGGAAGAGACACTGGAGAAATGTCTCCCTCACCCCTTCCTTCCACACTTACCTAGGCCCCCAGGAAAGAAAGGCCATGTGAGAACTAACAAAAAGGTGCTGAGCCAAGGATGTCTCAGCAAAAACCAACCATGCTGGCATGTAGATCTCCAACTTTACAGCCTGAAAACTGAAAGCAATTCTGTTGTTCAAACTTTCCAGTCTGTAGTAATTTGTTATGGCAGCCCAAGCAGAGTAATGCCATGACAGGGCTAGGGAGCACTGCAGTTTAGGGCAGAATTTGTGAGGTTGGATGTGGTCACATTAGTTATTAGTTGTGTGACCCTGGACATGTTAATTTCTTTGTGTGTAGCTGGAGAGGATAAATGCAGAGTTCTAAAAAATAGTCACTACTACTACCAGTAGTAATAATAATAGTGATTATTCTTTGTAGACCTTCAACAAATGTTCATTACAATTGTATGACTTGGAAAAGTTACTTCCTCTCAATTTCTCCATCTGTTCAACAGAAATAATATCTATACCCCAGGATTACTATTAGGGTTATGAAAAGAGAAACAGATGGCTCAATACCACAAACAAATAGGAATTTTTCTTTCCCTGGGAATATTTTAGAAACCAGTCTCAGAGGAATACTTCATCATGCCTGACAATTCAGAGTATTTGTGAACTCTTACTAAAGCAAGAAACGGTCAAGTGAAGTGTTTATCCTTGTCAAGAATCTTTACCCTCCTCCTCGGAAAAATGAACCTTTCAGCTCCTTTGGGCTGAAGTGCAGTTGCCTGTTGCTGCGTTTGCCTGGTTAATTGCAAAATCACAAAAAGGCTGTGGCATCAATTTCTTAAGAGATTGAAGTAAGTGCAGGGATTGGGGAAGGAGCAAATTCTTTCTCTGGTAAATTTATCACTTAAGAGGCTGTAAGCATAGTTAAATCAAGATGTAGCAACATCAAGCAGTAAACACACTGCCAACATCATAAGCTTCTCTGTACTTGTTCTGACTTAGTAGCTTTGATAAGACTCCTCATTACTGAGCACCTATTATAAGGTTCGATAATCCTACAATTACCTCATTATTACAAAGAAGACACACCTAGCAATTCACAGGCCAGACTACAAGCCATGTGTTTGCCTTGAAGTGTATGTTTTCCCTTCTGCACTTTCTTCCTCTCCTCTGTCTCCTAGTTTACTTTTCAGATTCCTTCCTTTTTCTTCCAGCCCATTTTCAGATTCCTTCCTTTTTCTTCCAGACCATTCCAACTGGTCTTTTTCTTAAGACCAGTTTTTGCCTGATCTAGCAGGCATTGCCTGTTTCCATGGTTACCTGTTTCCATACCTCATAGACCTCCAGCAGCTCTTTTCAGTGCACAGAACCGAATAGACTTAAGGGATCTGAGAAGTGAGGGCCTGAGTTTTAGCCTCTGAAGACAAAGCAGATAGTCTAAAAGGGATCAGTCTTCCTTAAAAGCCTAAAGAAAATATTAAAACCACTGTTTCTTACAATAACATGTTTTGGGAACTTGAATTTTTCACCAGGGCAAAATAATTCAATTAAGATAAAATGTGAGGTAGGATTGTAAAATGAAAGGTTACACTGAAGAACTATATTTTTAACAGAGAATGATTTTTATCTTTGACAAGGGAAGCAAGACTACTCAAGAAGAATGTCTCTTAAATGCTTTTTGAAAAACTAATAATATTCAAAAGAATGAAACTGCTGAATACCTACTGGAGTGAAACTGCACTACTCTTATACAACTTACAAAATTAACTCAAAATGAATTAAAGCTTAAATGCAGGATCTCAGGTCATAAACCTTAAAAAAGGGGGGGGCGGGGCAGAAATCTCCTTTACATTGGTCTTGGCAATGATTTTTTAGATATGAAAACCACATGTTAAGAAGAGCAAAATTTAATGGAATTACATCAAACAAATGGTTATGCACAGTGACAAAAAAAGGCAGTCTGTGAAAAGGGAGAAAATATTTACAAAGCACCCATCTGGTAAGGGGTTAATATCCAAAATATATAAAAACTCATACAACTCAATAGCCAACAAAAGCATGAAGGCAGAACTCATTTACTATTGGTAGGACTATAAATTGGTACAGCCATTAGTGGAAATGGAATAAAGATTCATTAGAAACAACTATATGATCCAGCCAACTCTACTTCCAGATATATACCTGAAAAATCAGGATCTCAAAAAAAATTTCTGCAACCCCATGTTCATTGCAGCATGATTTATAATAGCAAAGTAATGGAAACAGCTAGATATCCGTCAGTGAATGCGTTGAGAAACAATGTGGTGTGCCATCAAAGTCTTTGTGTATTTACTGAGCACCAGTTACTGATTGTACTGGGAGAAAGAGGATGAGAGTGTCAGCTCAGAGTTGAAGTGGAAGTAATGGTCAAATGTTAATCAGATTCTAATTAAGGGACTTTAGCTAGACTTTTGCCCAGAGACTAGAATAGACCACTTCTCTTTTTCTGTTACTTAACAAGCTATTAAATATGTAATTGAGAATTGATTAAGGTCTGGGTTTTAGTAATGTAAAAGGCATTCTATTTTGCTTTAATTAATGTATTTAATATAACAGCAGACTTCACCTTTGATGTTTGTGTTGCATACACTGATTCAGGGGTGCTAACTTGGCATTATACAAACGTTACTGTGCAATGCAGCTATTTCTCACCCACATTTCCCAGCTGCCTGTCGGTTACACAGGAATGTAACTAGTTGTGATCAATGAGTTGCACCTAGAAATATCTGTCTGTATCAAAGCCTGCACCAAAACAGAAAGCATGTGAGCTCTCCATGTGCTCTCTCCCCCAGTTGTAACAATGGAAGCTCTCTTGTTTCTCATGTTACAGTCACAAGATGCTGGTGCCTGAGTTTTTCACTGACTTTGTGGACCAAACTTCCCTCCCATGGACCTTCAATGGATATGAAATGTAAGCAAAAAAATTAAACAGTTGTGTCTATCCATTGAGATTTGTTAGCTAGTGAGATGTTACTGCATTGTAGGTCCAGCTTATCTTGACCAAATGGGGCCAGAGATGCAAACCTCTGTGGAGTCACCATTGAAAGTGAAATAAGGCCTAGAAAATAGGCTGGAGAAGCCTCTTTCTGGGTAAATGTTTAAGTACTAGTGAGAATAGGGGTGTGGTTTCACAACCTTCTAGATGATTTTATCTAAATCATGGCTAATTACTCCTTACACAATTAGTTGGAGTAGTGTATGAGAAAAACAAAGCAAAATGCCACATACACATTTGATCTATGGATAGGACCAATGTATTCTGTTAACTAATGAGGTTGGACATCACTAAACGACTTACCTTGCAGAATAAGAAGTCAATTTTAAACAAAGATAGATTTTTTTTATCAGAGAAAAATGTGTGGCTCATAATTCCAGTTTATCCCTTTAGAAAACATCTTCAGTACATTGGACTCATTGCCAAAGAACCTGTGGGAATAAGACATTTCATTGTGATCAGTGGCTCCTGAATATAATTTTAGTGGAAAAATTTTTTCACACCTCCCTCATGATGGCAATGCCTTGGCATGAGTTCCTGCCCTCTTGGCATTCTGAGGTCATATGCACAGGATGGGTGGAACATGCTCAAGTAGACAAAGTCTTACTGACTGATAGATATTCACAAGTTGTCCAGACAAGCTGTAACAAATGGACAAGCCAGGTTGGAATCAAATCCAAGAGACAGAAAAGGTGTGCAAGACATCAAATCACTGATGGGGAAAAGATAACTCTAGTCAGAAGCAAGATTTGAAATCATAGTTGTATCAGTCCCTAGAGTACACTAGCAATCAGGCAATAGTAAGAGTCCTGAGAAAAATCACCTTAGGCTTGCCTGCCTTGAGGGAGGATGGCTGTGGAACCCCTATCCCATTTTTGAAAATGACTTTGGTGATGTGATGAAACTGATAGGCAGCTGCAGCCGGGGGGCAGGTGGGGGGGCTGCGGCGGGGAGAAAAGATATTTGGAGAAGTCATCACTGCTAGAGTGTGGTTGTGGCTTCCCCAAGCCTTGGTATGAAGTCTAATGAATAATGTGAACCACCAGAATCAAGGATATGGGCAGAGGTGAGAGGTCACTCCTGTTGCTAGTCACAGTAATTACTCCCAGAGTACGACTCAAAACTCATGAAGATGTTACTCATTAGATTTAGAGTTTGTAATCATTAGTTATCCCTCCCAGTAGATTCCATTTAATCTTATCACTTGGGAATGCATGGCACCCTTGAGAGCATCCATTCTAAAATGAGCGGCTTATATACTGCAGTAGAAAAATTCAGTCCATTTAAAGCAGAGGGTAAGAACAAGGCCTGGAAAATGTATTGTGAAAGGTTAAAGACAACCTTAGCACAACAAAGTGCTAAGCTAGGTCAGAATGTGTCTCTAGGTATGACCTCTAAGGCTTTTGCCTGGAGTAGAGAACAGAATTGTCTGAGCTATTTTAAGTAAAAGTTTGACAGATTCAGATCTCTTCAGTACTCTGGAGGCATAGTGGAGAGGGTTCTTTGTAGGAGATTGGACTTTAGCACCCTTAATAAACAAAGAGGAAAGAAGCTATTCAAATGAGATGTAGGCTTCCATGATACTAATACCAGAGTGAAAAATACTAATGCTCACTGATGACAGTTAAATTGAACACCTGTATTGCGGGTGAACTTATAGTATGACTTTCTTGATATATTAGCTTTATGAGCACATGCATATTTTCTAAGTTAAAGTTCTGATTATATATAAGATGTATTCCAAGTGAAACAGGCACTGTTAATGTTCTGCCCACGATTCCCTAGGACCTCAATTTATGAGAGCAGAAACCCCTAAGGAGAGTTTTATTCTAACTATGTTCCTCAGGAACTGTACATAACATTCTCTGACCCCGTGTTCACATTCCATCACATAGACTCCTTGGACCCACTAAGGAGGTATACAGACCCTCAGGGAAAATCAGACCTGATTCACAGTCCATGAATTGGAGAGGAAGAGTCCTGGTCTAGGATAGAATGAGAGTTTCTCTGTGCACATTCAGTATTCATTACTTAACGCTTGCCCTAACCTAGATTCCACTAGTGGGGGAAGGGAAGAGGAAGAGGGAGATGCGTCCATTGCTTACAATCTTGGTGAGCCCCTCTGGTAGCTAGAGTGGCCCCAGTTGGTGTTGCTGTCCGTGGTGCTGACAACTGGCGCAGGCTTTGCAGTTGAGACCTGTTTTGCTGTCCTTGGTGCTGCCTTATTTAAATTGCAGGCTTTTTTTAAAAAGATTTATTTATGTATTCATACAGAACTGGGGTACAGGCCAGAGATGCGGAGAGTGAGAGGATTCACCAGAGACAGAGCAGGAAGCAGAACAGGCAGATCTATGAAGTACACTGCTGAGGGGAGCAGCGGGCGGGTCAGGAGAGGTCTGTCACGCCATGTGGTCACCTTCAGGGCAGGCGGGGATGGAACTCATGCGGAAGTGGCTTTAGTTTCTCAGTGCAGTGCTTTAACCCGCTGCGCCACCAGGGAGGGCCAAATTGCAGGCTTTTTAAAGAGTAAGTTTTTGAGCCACAGTTCAAAGATAGACATAAGATTTTGGCTTTGCTGTAGTGTATTACAAGACTTAGGGCTCATGACTCTGTGTTGCCATTCAGACTTGAAAAATCAGCATTTCCTTGCTGCCTCATATTCCCAGACCATGTGGAATTTAGCACAGTTAATGAAAGAGAGCAGAGCTAAGTAGAGAGCAACCAGGGCTATAGATGACAGACTATTATCCACAGCAGGGGAAGCGCTACACATTGGCAGTCCCTGGCTTAGAATTTTCCTCTTTCTGGCTTCCTATTCAATCTGTCAAAGTTCTGTGAATTCAATCCTCTAAATATCTAATATTACTCAACTTTTTCTCATCTCCATCATTGCTTCCATGACAACAATGATCATCTCCACTACTGCTATTTCACACTTCCTCCTGTAGTTCTAATTACCATCCTTTATTAGGGGCATCATCCCTTCCGGATAATTTTCAACATGAATAATTAAATTGAAGTATATGCACACTAAGTGTTTTGTTAAGACTATCTGCACCAATTTGCATTCCAACCAAAGTTGTATAAGAGGATCCAAACCATTCTTCAGAGGCTAAAATTCTAACAGAATTCTAAAATTCTACAAAAACATTTGGTGTATCTTTTTATATGTAAACTATAATCAATAGACAAAAAGAAATATCTAAGGAACAAAAAAGCTAATGCTTATTGACAATGCAGCATGCACGATGGTAAGCTTATGTGGTGCTTTTAACCAAACCTGTGTTGTAGATTCTTTTTTACAAATAGGATGATGAGACCCAGATAGGTCAAAAAATTTGTCCAGATCCTCAGAGAGGGTCAGGTGGTTCTTTAAACCGCACAGCAAGCAAGTAGCACGGCATGATTGAAGCCCATACTTGTCTCCCCATTTCCTGAGAAGGAGATGCCCCTTCCCTGAGACCCAGAAGTGCCAGGTCTGTGAAAAAGCAGAAGAGGAGGCAAAGGGGATGGGTCTTAGGGAGCAGGCATCTTCTGCACACGGGCTGGAAAGGGGGGGCTTCCGGGGCTTTAGGGTCGCTCTAGCGGGTGTGATGTAATCACGCCAGTCCCTGCGTCAAAGGGCGGCTCCGGGGATGCGGAGACTGAGGTAGAACTGGTTCCAGTCGCCGCCTACCTCGTCTCCGCAGCCCGCCACCGCTAAACCCAGCTAGCCACCACGGCCGCCACCCTACGTCCCGTGCCAGAGCTACGGACAGCAGCCACCAGCGACACCCTTGACAACTGCCCCCAACTACCGGTAACCCCGACAACCACTCCCAGCACCAGGGTTCTCCGGGCACACGATGAAGTCGAGCTCAAGAGGGGGCGGATCTGGAGGCCGAGGGGGCGGTGGCTGGGGCGGCGGCTGGGGCGGGGGTCGAGGCGGCGGCAGCGGCGGGAGTAAAGGAGGCGGCGATGGCGGCGGCGGCCCGGGAGCCAGCCCTTCTTTGAGGTCCACATTCCGGCCTGTACCTCTCACTAGCCAACTGGCGAATGGAGGTGACAGCGGCGGCTC